GCAGACAAAAACGACGATAAATGAAGATCTTAAAGAGAAAAAGGAGCAGTAATGGTCAAAGTTGCAGAGGCTGGAAAAAGCATTCGTAAAGCCCACCGAAGCTTCCCCAATTACAAGACCAAAATGATAGCACTCCAACGCCCTGACGGAATAGTTACAGCATCCAGAAAGGTAATGGAGAAAATCATTCACGAATACCACTCAGATCTCTTCGTTAGCCGCGTCCTCCTTCTCTCATGTGAAGTAAGAGAGGATGGGTACGTTGTACCACCGGTTCTCCCTTTCGGAATACGACATGCCATTTCGTCGGTGAAAAATCGAACAGCACCAGGTCCCGACAAGACAAGATCTGAACACCTGAGGAACCTTCCGCCAGTCCTCGTGAGCACACTGGCTCGGCTATTCACACGCTATTTGTCTGAATGGGGTTCCTGCTCAGTGGAAGACCAGCAAGACCATGCTACTTTTCAAGAAAGGTGACCCTCGTGGTTCCGGCAACTTTCTTTCATTCTGCTTGCTGTCTGTCGCCCACAAATTTTCGCTCGAGTCCTATACATCCTATAAAAGATTGGTAGAACACTGGACGAAGGACAGCCATGTGAGCCAGCAGGATTTCGAAAATGATTTAGGACGATAGATAACATCCACACTATAACAAGACTCATTGAAGTATCGCGCGAGTACAAAAGACCGCTCTGTCAAACTTTCATCGATTTAAAGAAGGCCTTTGACTCAATCGAGTTAGAAGCAGTCATGAAAGCACTTGATAGTCAAGGAGTCCCTACTCAGTAAATAAAGATTCTTCATGAGCTGTACAAAAATTTCACGACAAAGATATCACCATTCTACAACGATATGAACATCGACATCAGAAAATGGGTTAGGTAAGGCGATCCCATCTCACCAAAATTATTTATCCCACCCTCCAGAACGTCGTGCGAACATTGGAATAAGATAATATGGGAGTGAAAATTGATTGCCGGCAATTCCGCCATCTTTGTCTTGCTGATGACATCGTCCTTATAACACCGAAGCGGATGCTTAGCTAAGCGGAACGTATGCTTGCCGAGTTTGATAAAGCCTGTGGAAAGATTTGTCTTCGACTAAACCTCACAAAAACGATGTTCATGAGGAGCGGATTAGTTTCGTATGCACCATTCACGCTCAATGAAACAGAGTGCTGGCGTGTCACTGAATCGAGAAAGCGAGCTCGGATTTTCGGATCCTTCAGTTGGTCGGTGGCTTCTCCAAAAGACCCGTATGCGACCAAAGTTCCTCTCCTTCTTCTGTCTGATTTTTTATGTTGTTTTATATGCTCATAGATCTCCTGAAGTATAAGAATAAAATGGTCTCTAGAATCAGGGAACCATCCAGTTCGATTCTTAGCCTTCGCACCATGGGTTTTCCATGAACTTGGTTTTTTTCCGGTTTATGCGTAATCCGACATCATTTCTCGCTTTCTTGGGCTCGTTGCTCTTTATCTCTGCTTCACTGGTGCCTCTGAGGAGATGACGATCTCGTGGGCAAGAGGAATGTTTGATACGAACTTTTCACCAGTACGTATGCTTTTCTCATTCCACTTGAGTGACTTCGTTGTCCACTGCAGTACGGCACTAAACAGCTTAGGTGACATTGTGCTGCCTTGTCACACCGTTTCTCCTACGGGTGTGGTAAGAGGTTAGTTCTCATCTAGCGCAGTGGTTGGGGACTTGTTTCGCAGGATAGCTCCATAAGCCTTAGCGAGTCATTATAATAGCCATCGATCATCTCCAACAATGTTGATTCTGTGTTTATATTGTTGAGCTTACACAGGCGGTCGGTTTCAGGATTATTGGTGCTCAATGAAGTCGAATGTATAGCGCATTCCTCAAGGAATGATCAACGCTGGAAACTTTATCCCTTATCATTTATGGTAAGAGGTCAATGGAGAAGGTGTGCGTTCGTAATGCATTTCCGACAAGAGTCAGTCAGAGTCCTTATGTAGGACGGGTCCGTTCCTTGGTCGACGAGGGCTGATAGGATTGCATTCGTTTCGACAGTGTTAAACGATTTCTCACAGTTGACAAAGACTAGGACTAGTGGCAGGTGGTATTCTTTACAAACTTCAATGACCCTGGATACAGTTTAGATGTGGTCCATATAGCAAAATCCCTGTCGAAATCCTGCTTGCTCCACTTGTTGCGCCTTATCCGATGTCCTTAGTACGGGCGTCAGGATAGTCTTCGTGAAGGACTTGTAGAGGACACTCAACAAGTATATCTGACGACAGTTAAGAAAGTTTTTTCGGTCACCATTCTTGGGCAGGATGACTGTGCGCGACGTCCTCCACTGGTCTGGGATTTCTCCTTTTGAAGGTGGCCTGTCGTATGTCTTGCGAGAAGTATATGTAAATTGTGGCATCTAGTTCTGAGGAAGTCGGCGATGATATTATCGCATCCTTGAGCCGTGCCTCCTTTCTTGCTTTCTATCGCAACTAGAGTCTCCGACAGAAGAGTTCCAGGTGGTTTTTCTCCAGCGGGGATTTAAGGGTCGGGTACGAGAATTTTGGAACGAAAAAAGATGGTGTGAAACGTCACCGTTAACAATTTCATATAATTGCAAGAAGTGTTGGTGATCTTATCACCAATGATGCTAAGATATTTGCAAAAGATCAACGGAACCAGCTGAGAGACAGGCGAAACGATGGAACCCGCATGGTGTGGTGGTGAGCACGTCACTCCCCGGAAAGGACAATAGTGCGTTCGTTCCCCACCGCATATAGCTGCGGTCCGAAGCTTTGCAATTATCTCAGCATCACTGAAGTTATATTTTGCAATACACCTCTCCGTTAAAAGGAGTAGGCAGTAAAGAATAAGCTAAAATTGATCTTTTCATCGTTCGTCAGGGCTGCCAGAGGGCCTTTATAATCGCGCCAGTCCCGACGACATTTTTCGCACTAGTTCTTTTTGCTGCTGCTTCCAGCAGTTTTTTTCTACCTGTAGCGATGTAGTTCTTCCTACAAAGCTCTTCTGCAGCTGGCATTTATTATTAGCTGTGTTAAACGTGTTACAGTAAGATGAAGCATCAGTTGTCTTCTTTTCACCAGTAACTCCTTAGTGGTAGTGGAGATATAAGCCATTTGTAAATATAGTAAGAAAGTTTAGCACATGGCTCATAAAATGAGTATCCAACTTTAAAATGCTTTTATTAGTCTTTTAACCACAAATTTATAAGTCCGTAATGTTTTCAAAATAGGAAGAAATCTCAGTCGATGAAAAAATTTGGAATGGCGAGTCAAACGAATGTGGCGTAATATGTCAGATATCCGTATTCCGTTGAAATCTTTGCGCTGTACTTCACGGATCTACATTATTTTAAAGTATCTCCGATTGTTTGTTTACGAGGAAATTACGTTGTCTTTTCGTTGGTGCTTAATACGCGGTGCACCAACTAATGTCTTAAAGCGACCATGTACCTGAGTTGTGCTGCATTTGAGTGGATTCAAAAGGTGCATGTCCTGTTTCCGTTGCATTAGAGTATATATTTGATCTCAATAATCACTTCACAAAGACGCTATGGCGATGATCTCATGTCGCTGGGTCAAAGATGGGCTGGAAATCGTTTGTCATTGAGCAGTCCCATAAAGATGCGTCGTATAATCAGTTTCAATAGGTATCACAGATACGATTCCATGCACAGCTACCTCTTGAACCACGGTTATATCACGAAAGTCTTTCCAAAACTTACCCAATTCTCGTACCAATTTCTTTACCTTGAAAAGATTAAGCCTGGTTTGGCCTTGGCTTAGTGAGTCCAAGATGCAAGGTTGGTGCATCGGTATCGGGCTATAGTATGTTTGGTAATTTTCCATTTGTTTGATCTGATATAAGGTTGGTATGAACATTTTTATTTGTGCAACGTTTCGGCACCTTTGTTTTCATCAGAGCCGTGTCCACCCTTGCCTATGGCCCCAAGCTGTTCGTTATAGGCGAAGGCGACAAAACTTTAGCCGAGTAAAAGTATTTCGCACCATCCTCATGAAAGCTCAACCATATAGAAGCTTACTGATTTTCCTTACCTAACTTTAATAGGCGTAGGATTTTAGAGTACGATATGATTACTGCAGCAATAAAAACATCTTTCCAGTTTGTTACTTAAGCTGAGTAGACCGGCATTTTCATTTGTAGTTTCATTTACGATAAATATGCATAAGCTACCTCTGGTTTCCTGAAAGAAATCAGGAAAACCTCGCTCTGCACTGGAATGATAGACGCCATTTTGAGGGGTTCAGGGGAAGAAGAAGATGCAGTAACAAGAAAATACCAGTCGAAAACTACGTTATGACTTCCACTATTTTTGAGCACCTTTACATTCAAAAAAAAGAATTTGCCGTTCATCCACCGAGGTAAAGCATTCCATTGCGAGAAATGCACAGGGCTTTTTAGAGTAAAGGAGAACGACGAACATAAGGAAAGGGTAGTTCTGAACATAGATAAATGCTGTCAGTACTTTTAAGTATAATTCTGATGATTGCAGGACGAATTCATATATGTGATTGGACAAGTTGTTGTTGAGCCACAGCAAATTTGCAGCATACTTTTGCAGGGTATGCATTTATATTATGTAAAAGGTGGTAAAAGAAAGCGACAAAAAAAATGAAAAATCTAAGAGGAGGAGTATCTGTTTCGTCTAAGTACGCTTTCTATCTTCTCCTTCCTTCTGACATGGGTCGGGATACTGTTCGTTATTGAATGCACTGTGAAAAAATGTATATCTCTAGTGAAAGTTGCAGATTGTGGCAAAGTCATAAACCCATTTAATTCCACATGGACTATTCCAATTCCAAGCGGCCAACCAAAACCGGTTGATAAACAACCAGTGCCGGTGAATTAATTTATTCTTAGACATATGAAACAACGTTATATTTCATCATAACTCTTCTTTGCTTATTTATAAATTTAAGACAAAGAAGCAGTGAATAACACGAAAATCAAAGTTATGAAAGAAGTTTTAAGTCCGATATGCCAATACTTCGAGTGCTGCACTTAACAGACATCCATTTGGACATGATGTATACGCCGGGACTTGAGACAAAATGCTCTGAACCGCAGTGCTGCAGACCTCAGAAGAACTCCACCGTAAGTTAAGTAGTTCCGATATGAATATCTGTGACTAGTTTCGATACAGTAACAAACAGATGCGATGAAATAATATGTATTTAAGAGCATCATTATGAGACCGTGAGATATTTTCACATATTTTATTTGTTCAATGGAATGTTATTTTTTCTAGGACATATAGACGATATTTGGCTTTTCATTAAAGTCCGAGAATATAAATTTAGCCATAAATATCATTCAGCCGTCTTTAAATAAAAACTTGAAAATGGATTAAAGACTTTTCAAGGTAGATACTTCAGTAGAAATCAATTTCTAGATTTTCGCAAAGACGGACATTAAGCAGCCAGCTGGATATTGGGGTATGGTTGGTGATTGTGATGCTCCCTACTGGTTACTTACCAACATGTTGGAATTCATTCAAAAAAATCATAAAGACGTGAGTTTCACAAGTGTTCACACTTCTCTTAAGCGATCCTGAAAACAGTACTGCATTTCTAAATCCTGACTGAATCGTTACCCTCTGTGTTAGTCATCGAATGTCTGAGAAAGCATCAATTGCTCAGTGAGATCCCATATCACAGTTTGACTCCGAAACCTTTCATTTTTATTGCTTTCAACCAAAGGGTAGAACGGATATCTTGTTGAACCCCGTTGTCGAAGTAGATATGCAGCCCATTTACTAGAGACAATTCTAAAAAACATTCCAAGCACTTCCCAGTCATTGTAGATGACAAAGTTTCGGTCAAATTAACCTTAAGGATACTATTCGCATACAAGCAAGAAGATCCATGACAAGATATCTCTCACTGAATACAAGCGCGCCTCAACACAGTCGCTTTTGATTCAAGTTGAACCCAGTAGTTTTCACACGAGTAAGCTACACATAAGGGCGGGTGTGGCGCATTGGTCGGAGGCACCCTGTAATACGCATGGGGTCGACTCCCAAACCTCGGCCCACCATGCCATTCATTCCTCCAGGGTTGAGAAATTGGTACCAGACTTGTCTGGGAGGATAGCAACACTGCCTCGATACATCGGTAGGCCATGACGAGTCATTGTAACGGCCAGATATGCATTCAGTCACCTCGAAACGATGCTTGATGAAGTCGAATGCATGGCGTATCCCTCAGGGATTGTTCAACTTCGAGAGCTTTATCCTTTAAGCTTTACATAGTTTTGTAATCAACCAAATCCAAATCCTTCACGTGAAAAAATTTCACTGACACGTAGAACTGGGACAATAACTTTGCCAACAAAGCATCACAAGTAGCATTCGTTATCTTCTTGCTGTTGTTGTTGCATCCAGTCCTCCTTAGATTTATATTGCACGTATCACTATGAAAGCAGGACAGTGATAAAAGGTCCAGAAACATAGTCATAGCTTGCCGTTCATTGTTGATAGAAAGGTCAAACAAAATCTGCTCACTTAATCGTTGTCATGTTATTAGAAGTGCTCGGTTATTTTTCATCGATGAACCTAGGTACTGCATATCTGCTCTGAATTATGGCCATTTACCTATTCAGCTGTTTCACCCATTCAAACTTGTATGAGAAGTAAATAGCAATTGAGACCGTTGAAGATGCGGAAGAAATGGAGACGTTAATTGAAGCAAATCTCTTCATTACGATTCAAAAGCGTGTGGAAAGGCCAGCCCTCTGTAAAGGATCGATTTCGAATCGTCTTGAACAAATTAAAAACACAGATAATTATTAACCAAATAATGGTCACATGCCTTTAGAAACCCACAAAACACTTTTTGTGAAATCTGTTCGGCCGTTTTTTTTGGATTCCTCCGGACGGCCAACGACGTGTTGTGTACAAGGTTGAACAAAGTTAAAGCACTGAATCATTTTTGGTGGTCAAATTTGTATTAGATCGACAAATATTACGACGGCATTTCTTTTCTGGCGTAATACTTTTATGGCGTCGTCTTCCTCGTCATCATAGCCGGAAGATGTTTCTGGTCATCGAACTGTGAGGTATAGTGGGACTTACTAACCATGCTGTTTAAACGACGAAATTCCCATCAAGCAATCTGGCTAAGTGTGGGCCTATACTGAACTAGAATCTATTTATCAAAGCAGTCATGTTAATGCTTTTGCTGAAACCGCTGAAAAAGGTGCAGTACTTCGATGCTTTTCATGCCCTTTGAGTCAGTGGAGTTCAGAGTCTGATAAACGACGGGGACGAACGAAGACTATCTGTTTGCTAGCGTTACTCATTGACTAGCGATATTACAAAAGAATAAGTTGACTACAATACTACTATTTTTATCATCGTTATTTTGTCATTACCAATATTATGCAAACAAATACATTTTTCGCGACTTGCTCTTTAATTGGTACTGAACTTGTTCGAGAAAAAAATCATTCTCTGCAATCCAACTGAGGACGCTCTAGCCCAACTATGTCAGGACTCCGGGCAAAATCGACTCGGCCAGCAGCCTACAACATCCAAGATAAAATAAAAATAGTCGTGCAGAAGCGGAAGCCACACGTAAAGGTTTTATAATATTATTGAATGATGGATGCGAGGAAATGAATCGAATTTGAGAAGTGCTGGAATCCGCATATCAGATACCGGTAATTAAAACTAAATAAAATAAAATTTTCTATAATAACAGAATAGAGCCAGCTGAGAGACAAGCGAAATGAAGGACCCGTATGGTGTGGTGGTGAACGCGTTACTCCCCGGAGAGGACAATAGCACGTTCGTTCCCCACCGCAGACACCTGCGGTCAGAAGTTTTGCAAATATCTCAGCAACGTTGTGGTTGTATTTCGCTTAGTACCCTGCCGCGTAATTATAGTAGGCAGAAAATAAAAAGTAAAGCATTTATAATAAATGTATTGGAAAGTGTAATTATAATCTGCACGTAACGTTAACTGACAATGTCATCCTGTTGATGGTCGAGTGACTCGTGCGGGCCCAGTATGCCTTCCATTTCTCCCTAACGCTTGGAAGAGTTGCTTAGTGGGTTCTCTCGCTTTACGTACTCGTTGAGCATCATAACTTTCTGCTAGAATTTTCATGGAGAATTATGACCATCGGGTCCGTGGTCCTCTCGCAGCAGGCTTGACAACCAGAAGTATCCAGTTGCTAACGACTCCTATCCGTCGGTTGCCGTTCAGATAAACACATCTCGGGCCCATCTCCAATCTTGGGCTAGAATTGTGTCTTAGTTTTTTGATGGTGGACTCAAGTCAGAGCTTTAGATTCCTTTCCTCACTTGCGTGATGTCATATGCTAGAGTACTCGGTATCGTTCTGTCGACTGGGCGTTCTATAACGCTTAGTGATCTTCCATCCTACTGCCGTAGCAGACGCAGTGAGCAAGCTTCCGACACATACACGTTAAGTCACGAAGTGTCGCTGACTCTGGAAGATAAACATGGATTCTTGTGTTCTTACTCTTCTTCAATACATCCTCAGTGTTACCGAATGTCCCAATCCGCCTTCTTCCTCCTGCTCAACTCTGGAGCTAAGTCGTTCATCATGTTGAATTCCCGACCTAGATAAAAGTAGCTGGACCTTTCGAAAAAATTCGTAGCATTGAGCTTCAATAGAGATTATGAAACCAATCCGTTCCAATCCATTATCATCCTTGTGAGATTTAGTCGAAGAGCGATCTTTCCACAGGTGTTACCAAAATCGGCAAGCAATCATTCCGCTTGGGTAATGTTTGCTGTAATAAGGACGGTGTCTCAGCAAAGCGAAGATAGTGTGATTACCTACCATCGATTTTCACTTCTATGCTGCCCCATTCCAATATTCGCATAACGTTCTCAAAGGTAACAACAGATAACCATGGTGAGATGATCGCCATCGCCTATCGCCTTGCCTGACCTCGCTTTTGATGTCGATGTCAATTTCGTTATGGAACAGTGATTTCTATTTGCGAAATTTTTATATAGCTCATAAAGAATTTTTATACACTGAAAAGGGTTGCCTTGGCTGTATAGAGCTTACATCACTAATTCTGCCTCAGCAGAGTCAAAAGCTTTCTTTAAATTGCTGAAACCAAGGCAAAACTTTCTCTTGTGCTCTCGCAATACCCCAATGGGCCTTGTTGTCGGGTGGACTTCGTTCATGGCATTAAATCCTTTTCGGAACCCTGTTTGCTCACATGGATGATCTTGGTCGAATTTTTGTCAATCCTAATTAGGATAACTCGAATGAAGAGCATATAGTCAACCCACTGCAAGCATATTGGGCGGTATTGCTGATAACGTGGAAGTTACCCTTTTTGAATAATAACGCAGTCTTGCTGTTTTTTCACTGAGTAGGGACCTTGCATTCAAACGTGTGAAGAGCCGAGCCAGTGTATTTATGAGGACTGCCGGAAAATTCTTCAGCTGTTCAGATCTTATTCTCTCCGAACATGGTGTTTTTCGATTTCTCATCGGCGAAACATCAATCATGTAGGATTTCGGAAGGGACAACCGGCGATACGACATATCCATCCTCTTTCGTTTCGCAAGAAGTCAGCAGGACGTTTCTATTTAAGGGATCCAAGTAATAATCGTAGGTAATTTTCTCCACTGTTTTTCTAGAAGCTGTAATTGTTCTGTCTGGGCATCAGAGTGTAATTGCATTGGTCTTATAATTGGCAATGTTTCATTCTTCAACCATAATTGCTGCTCTTCTATCTTTAAGATCCTCTTTTATCGCCTATCTGCAATGTTTTGCCAATTTGGAAATAGGTTATCGGTCGCCTGTAGCCTGTGCGATTCCACGTTGGCGTATCAACTAACAATAATAATAGTAAATAAGTAATACTCAAATAGTGGTGCCGTTACAATAAAAACATTCAAAATTAGGACTCGCGTAACATGTAATGTTAAACCATTCCACCTCGGCCACCAAACTGCATGAGTGTCCCAGGCGGTAATGCGCAATTTTCCATCAGTTGCAGATTTCTGAGTTTTCTTTTACGATCAAAATTTTTTTCTCAGTAATTAGAGGACCTAAGATATAAGTGCTGTAGAAGGACCTTTCGTTATCGTTTTATGAATATCAATGATATATATACTGCTATTTACTATGTATTGCTACGGCTGATGTTATAAGTCCGTCGCTATTGGCATTTAGAAGCATTTTGAAACCAAGCCCTCCACCTCTTCGGGGCTGACAAATTGGTACCAGTCTTGCCTGGTGGGATAGTAGCACAGGCTGCATACATCGGTAGGGCACCGTGGTCATTGCAAAGGCCAGATGCACAAGCACTCACCTCTAAACGAAGCTTTGTGAAGTAGAACGCATGGTGCACCCCTCAGGGATTGATCAACACCGGGAGCTTTTTCTATTATCACAGATAAGTCCCCCTCGAAAATTTTTAGTCTCTTGATTTTTTTACTTTCGAAATTTTAACCTCACGTTTTCATGCCAGGCCGAGAACTTTGGCGTACTGGCGTCTCTTAGTGACTTTTAAGCTCACGCTTTTTTAAACACTGTAGTTAAGTGGTTGTGGAATGAGCGGGTTTTATTTTCCATCGATGCTATCAATATCGGTTATATTCCCAAAGTTTTTTTTCCCTTCTGACCAAAAGAAGCTCGTGTTGAGAAAGTGGGAAACCGTTCACGTATAGACATTTCCTACAACAGTGACGTTTATTTGACCAAATCCATTGCCATACAAATAAAACGGCAAGCAATAAATAGAAAATTAAAGAACCAGCTTAGAAAGGCAAAGACGAAAAACTTTTTTGTTGCTTTTATTACAAGATAGTTTTTGTTTTTCTGAGAAAACTTTATATGACAAGATCGACGAATGAGAATCTGAATGAGACGAAAAAACTATTCCAGCTTGATTACATCATGGTTTCTGGAGATCTCACATCACACGCTGTTTGGGATTATAGCCGAGATACTCATGTGGCAATCGTGAGGAACATTTCAAATACTATTCAGTCGTAAGTAATGAATGTATTTGGCATGGGATCTTTCCAACAAGTTAATGAAGGCAATCTGTAAACGTACTAATGGTTTTGTAACGAAGACGCTAGAATCTTCTCTAAGAACACTTATTTGGACAACGTTTTGCATATCACAATGTCTTAAGTTTTATTTACTGCCTAATTTTCTTTCATGGTAGTTTACTATGTGATGTACAATCACAAGAATGCTGAGGTATGGGTTACCAACAGATAGATAGATATTAGTATTATAGATATTTTCCGAGCATTCCCACGTACTATACCGTTGGTAATCACGAAGGCGTACCAATTGATAGGTGGGTGTCATGATCAACGCTGAAATTCGTTGCTCGTTGTTCTTTTCGCGTTTTCATCGAGAGTTTCAAATGTTCCAGTTTTGCGCCACATTTTACACCAAAACGATTTCATATGGATTGGCTTTATGATACAATGGCTGAAATATGGTCAGATTGGCTGCCTGAAGATCAAATGGAAACAGTGAAATAGTAAATGATTTTTACATATACTAAACCTCCTCCTGTGTGCCCATACTCATTCGTTTTTCCAGCATGGGTTGCTTCATGAAAGAAATTTATCCTGGTCTTCGACTGATCTCGGTGAATAACGCACTTGGAGGAGATGCCATTAACTTGTAAGTCTATTCGATATCGACGAAATCATTTTGCGTTTTTGTTTTCCTATCTGATCCGCAGTATTATTCCGAGGAACAGGTACGTTATAAGTTTCTACACTTAATCCAATAAAGCATTTATTTGCTGTTTTTAGCTTTCTTTACGTAAATCAGACAGACCCTGATGGAACGATGGCATGGCTCGTAGAGCAGTTACTCGATGCCGAGCGTGCCGGCGATAGTGTAAGTTCCCAGTAGAGAAAGCTAAAGCTATTCAAATACTATTTCAGCAAAGCTTATTGTCTGTATAGGTTGTTTTTTGTTGTTCAACTAGTACAGCTGTAGTATTTTTGTTGCAGTTGTGTGCTTAGTGACTTCAGGCGATTTAGAAATAAAATAGTGCACATTTTTCAGGTGCATATAATTGCACACATTCCTGGTGGAGATGGTGAAGCCCTTGAAGGCTGGGCTATCAACTACTACAAAGTAATAAACAGGTAGTAGTAAAAGTTTTCTGACTTTTTTTGCGCTAGGGGTTGAAATACGCCATGGTGGTAAAAGCGAAATTATTTCGTATTGTATTAGTAGGCTTCAGGTTGACACATCGAGATCCGTAACAATGGGCGTGCTCGTAGCCTTTTCATCTATAATAACTAGAGAAGGAAGAAAGGGCGGTTATCACAGGATCAGTAAATACTGATGTTACTCGGCTCCGTTACTTTGGAATAGCTATCTCCATGGCATTCACGATCATGTGCTCTATCATACTTTTGATGCTAAAATATGGGAGCACATCTCGTTATCTCGGTCTTTCATTATGATAGCAGCGTTTGAAGTAGTAGGAAAGCTAATATTTTGGTTTACATGTGGACTTCTATAAAAGTGACCACAAACTTGTTGTGGCTGGCCATGATACTGCAATCATCGACACCACCGTTTTATACAGTACGCTTCATAATTGATTCCCGTTACTAATTAAGACTAGAAGCTAGAACGGTTAATATTTACGGGGGAAGCACCGGTGACTGATCTCGGGCCGCTACTCTACTGTAGGTATGTAGACGACTGCTTTGTCCTTTGCTCAACACAAGAGGAATTGGACAAATGCTTCGAATTGTTGAACGCACAGTCAGAGTATATCAAGTTCACCCGAGAAAAGCCGAAAGAAAAATGGCTTCCATTTTTGAACGTATAAATTCACCTATCAGAAAATGGCTACATTACAAAGTGGTACCGAAAGCCAAGTAGTAAAAATATCTTGGTTCATTACCTCTCCTCTCACCCCTCTCACACGAAAAGGGCGCTTATAAGAAACATGTTTCGAACGGCAACCAAGGTGTGCACGGAAAGAGAGCAGAGAGAGGAGTCCCGGAACTTGGCACGGCAAATAGCCGTTTCTAATGGCTACGAAACTGTAGCTCAGAATAGGTGTAGAGGAAATCGTAGGCCTCCAAACGACAACTCTAGCGATAGATGATATAAGTACAGCTATAAAACGCTGCTTAAGAAGGGTGGGCTTAGAGAATTCGGTGAGCGTAGTTGAAATACCACCG